ATATATATACACGCTAATTATGAATAACTTGGGAATTCAAAGATTTGCCATGTGTCCATGATTATACAGAAAGCTAACCAAGTGATGATGGATGCTTTCGCAAAAGTTGGACGAGGACTTAGGAGTCGTTTGGTAGGGTGCATAACAATAATAAGAATAATGATGAATATGATGTATTAGTAATCCTTGCATTAATTATGCTGACATATTTCTTATTTATTGTTTGGTTTGATACATTAAATCATTGCATTATTTCTAAAAAAAAATTGTTTGTTTACGGAAATACCCTCATAACGAGTCCATCACTTTATCTTTTTTTAAAGAGACATATGTTGAGGAATGTTTTTATATGAAAAAGGTTTTAAAAAATTATTTTATTTGTCTACCTATATTGTAGTATAGAACTGAATATTCATTATATAATAAAAAAAGAAATATGCTAAGTATTTATTTATTTACTAGGGATATATTTTTTTTTCCCTTTCTTAGATTATTAGGCAAAGAAAGGTTGAATTAAAAAATAAAAGGAAAATGAGTTGATTACAAGTGCATTCCAGTACGTAGTAATAGAGTACAGATTTATAAATTTATATGCGGGAGCAATTTCAGTATCAAACTATACATCAAGCTTGCATTAATATAATAACATATTTTAATTAAGCATAAATTTTGAAGGGTAATTTTGTCTTTACTAAGCTAATGCATGCATTAAAACTCATTTCATTGTTAATACCATAGTTTCTGATGCATTAGTTATGCATAGGATAATACCAAATAAGGTGCATAACTAATGCATGGGTTCAAAAAGTATACCAAACAAGGTATTATTAATATACAAAGTTACTTCATGCATTATTTTATCTAATGCATCCTACCAAACGACCCCTGCGAGTTCCTTGGTTTCTCCTTCGGAGGAAGAATCCCCTTTGTGTAATACCACTGATGTATGAATATTTTATTCAGCAAAAAAAAGTGTAGAAGAAATTATGTTAAAAGACCTAATTTTGTTTCCTTGTCAAAGTAATAGCTAAGGATGGGTGCAAGTATATGCGTATGCTATCCATTGCCATCTTTAGATAGTAAAGAAAATGATGTAGTACTTAGTGGTATTAGTAGAAAAGATGTACTTACGAATTAACCTCTTACTTCAACAAGTAAATATATTGTGAAGTTCAAAAAAAAAATCTTGCGTCTTGAACACTTCATTAGGTGTCAAGTAAATGCCAAAGTACACATTAAAATAGCATGTTACTTATCATTTATTAAAGATTATCAATTAATGCTTTAATGACCTAATTGTATAAATATTTTTTACACTGTCACTGCCCTCGTGAAGGCAGGATACTTTGTGCACCGGCCACCAGACTGCCCTTTAGTGCACAAAACTTAAACTCCCGTTAGAACTATAATTATTCCGCTCTTCCCATATTACTATAGCAGGACCAAGATCTTGTTATAATTGCCTTTGCCATAGGCAAGAGCAGGCTTAAAATCCCTCCAACCGCAGTTCCACAATCTGAATATGAAGAACTTTATAATACTTAAAAATGATAACAACAGAGCATAATTAAGCCTAAAACATTATTAAAATGCAAGAAGACAGAACAGAATAAGATCTTAAGGATCGGTTTATTGATTATCGATGTAATGTTCAGAAGACGATCTTGGTGGAAGAAGCATGGCGCACCGGCAAAGGATATATGAGAAAACAATAAAGGACTGCTAAAACCAATGCATGATGATGTTAACTGATATGTACTCTGATTTTTCACTGATGGCAATATGCTGAATCCTCATATTTTCCATCCCACCTATAGATCATATCACGCGCAACAATGAAGTTACCAACCAGTCTTTATATTTCATATACTCTTTAAGAAAGCACAATTGTATATAGCGTGGAAATTAGAATTGAACCAGCCATACCTGCACTGTTCATTTTCTGGAATATTGAGCTCCAAATCTTCTTCAAATGGCTCAAAGACGAGGTTGACTCGTTCATCGTCCAACTTTTCAAGAGTCGGGGGGTCCCACTGACGATGATTGCAGGTAGATAGTAATGTCCCAGGGGAAATGGAGCAAAGAGAGAGCAGAGTTAGTGTAAGGCTCTCAACGATACTTCTAGGTGCCAAACCTCAACTCTTTAATAAGTGTTGCAATATATAAATCATCTTTAAAAATGTTTTGGTTTCACAAAAATTAATAATGCAACATACTCACAAACACAAAAATGTCCCCTAAAATAAGTGTAACTCTCTCTGTGTGTGTGTGTGTGTGAGAGAGAGAGAGAGAGAGAGAGAGAGAGAGAGAGAGAGAGAGAGAGAGTCATACTTTTGGAGAGTTATCCTTGTCAATGGTAAGAGCCCTGATACCCTTCATAATATGAAACGAAGTGCATATTAGATTCAAGAGGATCAATGTATGTCCAAAACTGAAAAGCAATTCAGTGGTTACCTCATAGACATCACCAGATATTCTTGCTCTTAGTATATTGATTGTAAGTCTGAATTCTTTCTTCAGACTTTCAGACAAAGTTTGCTTCCTCCCTTCCCGAATCTGAAAATATTCGAGCATATATAAAAAGTTGCCAGACTACACAGTATGATAGAAATACTAGAAAACTATGTTACAAACTTAAACAAGAAAAATGCAAGTTAACGTGTTTTCCCCTATTTCATTTTATAAGCCAAAAAGACCAATGATGCAATTTTCATGTTACTCGTTTTGATGAAAAGGATTAACAAGAATCATAAGGAATTTGAAAAGCTCATCAACTGAAACTAAAAATGGATCACAGAATTTTGGTTAACGATACCAACAAGTTAAACATATCTACCTTTTTTCCACACTGATTCATAAAGTCAAGCACGGCAGTGCACATGAGTGGAAAAAACTAAAAAATACTGTATAACTGATGTAAAGTTTTACCAAATCTTTCAAAAACAATTACTGTCTACAACCTATTAGGAGAACAGATGTTAGCACAAAAGCCTGTCTCACAATAAACCTAGTAATAGCAGGAAGTGAAATGACCATACTCTGCACCATAAGTATTCAAATGAAACATCAATATTTTTGTCCTAATTCAAAGTTGGGCGCTATTTGCATGAGTTTGAATGTCTTGGATCCTTATACGGGGAGTACTAGCTTAAAGTAGATAGAGTATTTCAAAATTAGAGAAATTGCGAAGTGCTGCATCATAATATACAAAGGGTATCGGACCATTTCGAGGTTTTACACTATTACTGGCTATAAGGAATTGTGCACAGTGTTGGCTGCTTTTGTAGTAAATATATCGGAGGAACTAACCGATCTTAGAGTAATTTTTAGTCCTGCCGGGGATGATCTTTTTAGGCCTTTAAGCACCGGCACGATCCAGCTGTTTCCTTCTTTGCCTGCCTCAGCTTCCTGAAAAAGAAAGGAACCGTCACATTGTTTGTATACAGCACAGATCATCAAGTGAACAATGCCATGAAAAATTGTCTTACGAATGAACTAATAATCTCTGCAACAGAATCCTTGGAGAAGCACTCATCAATTATTGCCTGCCTGCATCGTTAGCTAATATAAATCACTCTTGATTTCCTAAAGCAAAGAGTACAGAGTGCAGTAATTAAGATATTTTACTTTTTTAAGACACTTTCTTCATCGATCTGAACATCGGTTGAGAACTCCTTGATTGCAGAACTGACAACAGCCTCGTCGCCAGTGTTTAAGCTTAATAAGTGCTTTTCTAGCTCCGGCAGTTTCTGACATATTAAAAAAAGAGAATAGAGTTAATATATCTCCACGCACACAACAAAAAATATAATCTCAAGACATTTGCAAAATTTAACATCGTTTAGTTTTTTATGTTTCTCACTATTATTCAATTAACTGTCGTGCATTTCATCCATCTGGCAAGGGCAATGTTAATTTTCTCCGTATAGTTGGATGTGCCCAAGTTGCTGCAAATCATAAGTCCTATTCTGAGCTATTATGTAGTAGTTTTTATGTGATTCTGGATTTGAAGAACATCATATTAATAATATACACAAATTCATCAGCATATAGTAGACTCTAAAAAACTTCTGTCGCTCAATAAGTTCATCAGCATATAGTAGACACTAATGGTAAGCACCCTCCACTTCCAACCAAGAGGTTGTGAGTTCGAGTCACCCCAAGAGCAAGGTGGGGAGTTCTTGGAAGGAAGGATGCCGAGGGTCAGTTGGAAACAGCCTCTCTACCCCAGGGTAGGGGTAAGGTCTGCGTACACACTACCCTCCCCAGACCCCACTAGTGGGATTATTTTTTTATTTTGCACCGGGTGTCCGAGTCTCTTTGAGCCCCGACTAATCCCGGGGGTGCACAGGCCCTCGGCAAGGAGTTTCCCGCAAGTGCACCACGGTTAATTCAGGTTTTACCCAGTCCGATGGCCCTCAGAAATTGTTTGCACCCAGTGGGTTTCGAACTTGAGACCTTGAAAGGGAGCAAATCCCAAGGCTCAAGTCAATTGCCACCAGGCCAACCACTAGTGGGATTATACTGGGTTGTTGTTGTTGTTGTTGTTGTAAAAAACTTCTATCGCTCAATAAATTCATCAGCATATAGTGGACTCTAAAAAGCTTCTGTCACTCCACCCCCGCAGGGACAGAGAACCGGTCGCTGTCTCGGCTGTGCTACTGGAGGCTCTGGGAAAGTTGGAATAGGAGATGTCACGAAATGCCTTGCTCTTCGGGGATGCCCTCAGCATCGAGGAACATTTACTAGGGTGTATCTATGACTCTGTAACTCACTAGAGGCCCGGGAAACAAAGAGAAGATGTGTATGAACGAGATATTCAGCAACAAGAAGAAGGAAAAGGATTATCGGTTCAAGAAAGTAAGGTGCCCCTGATCGAGCCAATTTGCAAGGTTTTTCAGATCCACCAGTGAGATACACACAAAATACAGAAAGTATTTTAGGTCGTTCTAAATTTGCAGGATATCAAATTGACCATGTAATATATCTCTGAGCTATTAGCCAAAAGTTCTTGACTGAGCTAGAATGCCAAAGAATTATAAACTTAAATTGCAATGAGAAGTAAAAGTCAAAAAGAAAATACTATAAGGATGTAAAGACAATGCTGAAACCTGGAGATCCATGGCATAATCTGCTGGAACTTCCAGGTTGAAAAGCAGTGTTAGTTTATGCATAAAGAGGATCTATACAACGAAACAGAGTTATTGGTATTTCGTCTATCCGATGTATCTTAGTAGCAGAGGAAAAGGAAACAAAAGCGATTCTCGTAGTGATGGCGATGGAAGCAACCTAAGTTGAGGTGGTTTCTTTTTCCATGTTGCTATTTTTGTGAAACACTGTATTCTGATGACTGTCTGGATATTCCAGTTAAAGCTTATGGATGGTCTATTACATGACAGGATATTCCAGTTAAAATGCACGCATGGTCTATTATGATTTTTTGAAAAATAAAGCATTTTATCATTCATGAAATAAAAGCTTGCTTTTTGCAATTTGTTCGAAAAAGAAATTTGTCGATTGGACTCACCTCCAAAGGGACAAAATGTGTTGCAAGTCCAGCAGCAACCAACTCTTTACCATTCAGCCTCGCTCCTGTTAACCCCAAGTATTCCCCTACATAAAACAGTAAATGTATTACTCAATTCTCCTTTTGGTTTTCAAATGACATAAATAAGATCCTTTCTTGTTCCAATGCTATTTGAATGCTTACCCAATCTACCAGGAAGCCGAGAAAGAATGTATGAGAAACTACAGTCCGTATGGAAGCCTATACTTGCTTCAGGAGTTGAAAAAACCTATAAAATGAGAGAGATGAAAATAGCTCATGCTTTACCTGAAAATTTTAAATTACAATATGCGAATATATGCGAATATATACGAACTGTCTTTTCTGTCACGACGGAGAACTTCATCGGAACCATTAAGGATGCACCTCCACCCATTGATATTCCATGAACAAGAGAAACCTGTACAGGACATAAACAAAAAGTTGCAAACAATATTTTAGAATCAAACTGCTCTCTTCTATTCAATATAAGGATTTTAGAAGAGTATTGGAATGCCCACCGTGGGTTTTTTATATGTATGAATGCGATTGCAGAGCCAATACATTCGATAAACAACTTCGAGGCAGGAATCCTCTGTGAAGTACAAGTTCCAAATGCAAGTCAACAAATAGTAATTCAATAATTTAAAGTAAACAGCTGAAACTTTTTTGCGTTACAAAGTATTACTTGAATTCCTGCCATCATAGAACATTTTCAAATCCCCACCAGCAGAAAAAGCCCGACCAGCTCCCTATTTATTTTTAAAGAAAAGAGAAAACAAGGTTAAGAAACATTTTCATAATCCCCAGCTCAATCATTTGTTAGCAGTAGCTATTATGCTAATCTGGTGCTAGAAATCACTAGAATTCAAGAAACAATAAAATTCAAAATTTTGGAGAGTAGAAAGAGATTTAAACCTTGATGATAACAAGTTTTGCATTCTCATCTTTCTCCCACTTCTCCAGATTCTCTGCCAGTAGTTTTACCTACTTAAAGGAAATAAAAACAGTCAGATTATAAAGATAATTAAGTAAACCTCTATGATAAGTACTACTAATTGGTAACCTAATAAAAATGGTACCTAACAGCTTATTTGGATGGTTGTTATGTATTGTTTCATAATGTATCTTATGGTATTGTATAGTATTGTAATGTGTCGTTTTGATGTATACAATATTTGGATAGATTGTATTAGCGGCTGTCGTTTCATGATGTCTTGTACCAATAATATGAAGAATAAACTTGCAATATTACAAAGAAAAAGTAAGGTAAATATAGGATAAAGAATAAAATAAGATTATTTAAAAATAAGAAAAGGCAATACGAGAGAAGAAAAAAAAAAGGTAGCGACATGACCCCACCAATCTGATGTAACTTGTTATCCAAGTTAAACTACACTCATGAGAGTATAAAAAATCCTTACACCGTCGGTGCGTATAAGTTAAATCCAATTAAAAAAGGTGTGTAACTGGAAATAGATCTTTTCAAGAATTATTGCCTAGGGTAAATTATAACTCATCTCTGATTCTGCAACATACCACTTTGGATGAAATGACATTCAATTGCTTGGGGCGATTTAAGGTCACCACTCTGACATTTCCAACTTCTTCAGACACAACAACCTGAAGAAACAATCAAGATTAACAAGATCCGCCACCAGATTATTAACTGTAAAATGTAAAGAAACTTAATTTAAATCTTTAAATTGAAATTTCTAATTACCTCTCCATCTGGGGTTACTGTTTCTTGAGCCATAATTAATCAAAAAGTTACAGCACAAGAAAAACCTTTACAAAAAAGCAGAAATTTAATCAAAACAATTTATGCAAGCTAAAGAAATGTGATAGCTGATTTAAGAAGATTAAATTGAAGACCTTAGAAATTAAGAGGTAGTATATTATACAACTAAATTACAGTTACAAAAAGAAGTTGAAATGAGTCAAAAAAGTTAATGGGAAGAAAAGGGTGAGATTCTACTTACAAGGATCAAATTAGGATGTTTTTGAAAGTGACTTAAAAATGCAAGAAAGAAGAGCAGCAAATACAAAGAGAGTTGTTAAAGCTGGAGAAGAAGGGACTGGTAAGCTTACTAATTTAGGTGGTTGGTGGGTGAGTTCCTTCGCAGTGTTTGGTAACACCATTACCTACCACTGTCCCTATAACTTTATTTTTATTTTTATTTATTTATCTGAATTCGCACTAGTTAAAATATATTAAAGAGGAAAGTTCTTTTATCAAAGTTTTTATTATTATCAAGATGAATTTGAGAGTTCTAATTAAGGATAGATAATTTGATATATATTATCCATGTTCTTTTAAATTTATGAGCAACTCTTTTCTTCCTACCAACACGGTATTATTATTATGGGTCGTGATTTCACCACTTTAGTATAAAAATAATTTTTGGAATAAAATAATCTTGCACATAATTGTTATCCCATCCCACCAACCAAATGACAATTTATGAGTGGACGATTAAAAAAAATTAAACAATTTAGCACGTTTTTTTATTTTATGGAAACAAAATAAATATGTTGGCATCATGGATTGTGAATCCTTACTCAAATTTAAAGGGATTTGCCGTCATACCCTATATTTGTGCCACCTTTTAACATGTATCCTATTTTTAAAAATTATTAATTTGGTACCCGGTTGACAAAATATCTGTAATAATATGACCATTATACCCGTGACAAAACATATAAAAGATGCATCACGGATAAATCACTTTACGGTTCTCCTCCATCACTCCGTCCCTCCTCAGATCTTCTCTCGCATCTGCCATAATCACGAAACCAGAAAGTTGAACCAGATTCAAATTCAAAATTACAAATACATTGTAAGTATTGCAAATCATCTTCAGATTTCAAATTAGTTTTTGAAGCTGATTGATCTTCATGAATTCATCATGCTTTTTAAGTTTTAATTCAATCAACCCATATATTTTAATCACACTTGCTTGGAGTTATAGAATAAATTTGTTTCTGGATTCTGTTAAATGCAGGACACATAGGCATTCAACAGTTTTGTCATGAGGACAAACATGCTGAAGTTTTTTGTTTGTTTCCTAGAACATGATATTAAACAAGCTGAGTTTTTACATAATTTGCTAAACTTTCACACCAAAACACTGAAGTTTTTGTCTTGCAGTATAAAAAAGCTGAAGTTTTTTAGTTCATTTGCTAATACTTCAGCACTAAAATATGCTGAAATTTTGTCCTGGATTCAATAGTTTTGTCATGAGCTTTTTCCGAAACTTCAGCAGAAGATGTTGAAGTTGTTTAGTTCATTTGTAAAAACTTCAGGACAAACCTGCTGAAGTTTTCCTCATGCACTATGTAATTTCCTAGTGAATTTAACTAGCTGAGTTTTTATATAATTTGCTAAACCTTCATACCAAAATGCTGAAATCTTTATCTTGCAGTATAAACAAGCTGAAATTTTTTAGTTCATTTGCTAATACTTCAGCATTCAATATGCTGAAGTTATGTCCTGGATTCAATAGTTTTGTCATGAGTTTTTTCCGAAACTTCAGCAGACGATGCTGAAGTTGTTTAGTTCATTTGTAAAAACTTCAGAACAAACCTGCTGAAGTTTTCCTCCTGCACTATGTAATTTTCTAGTGAATTTAACTAGCTGAGTTTTTACATAATTTACTAAACCTTCACACCAAAACGCTGAAGTCTTTGTCTTGCAGTATAAACAAGCTGAAATTTTGTCCTGGATTCAATAGTTTTGTCATGAGCTTTTTCAGAAATTTCAGCAGAAGATGCTGAAATTGTTTAGTTCATTTGTAAAAACTTCAGGACGAAACTGCTAAAGTTTTTCTCCTGCACTATGTAATTTTTTCCTGCATGCCGAAGTTACATTTCGTTCATGCTTAAGTTTTGTCTAGCATTAAATAGCTTTTTCATGAGTTTTTTTCGAAAACTTCAGAATAAACAAGCTGAAGTATTCTAGTACATTTGCTAAAACTTCATCTTAAACGTGCTTAAATTTTTCTCCTGCAGTATGTAATTTTCTAATGAATATTTTATGAGCTTCACACTTAAATTCTTTTGTTCAGTTTCCTAATACTTGACACTAAATATGCTTCTGCAGGATGAGCTCGATTTGCCTCGTTATTACTTTCAATGGGAGGTGGACTTTTGATTTCAAATACTTGAATCATGATACAAAACTTGTTCTACTTAATAAACAAGTATCATTCAATACTTTCCAAAAGAAAATTAATGAAGTTACAGATATTGATTCAACCAAATATTCACTAAAGATATGGTTTGATATCAAACTAAATACAATAATGTACCTGTGATTAAACGTAATGTTATTGGGGAACAAACAGTTAAAAAATCAAGAAGAATCAAAACCCGTTTGATTTCAGAGAGAAACAAATCAAAAAATGCGAAGAACAGGAGAAGAGACACAGAGACAGTAGAATGACGTATATTTGGAGAGAGAGTAGTCTTTTAATAAAAAAAGGGCAAAATCATCTTTTTAAAAGATTTTTAATAAAAAAAACGAGTACGGATGCAAATAGAAAAATAAAGCGGGTACAGGTTAAAAAGGGGCGACCAAATAAGGCGCCCCATGCAATTTTTACAATTTAAAATGGTTTTGTTAGCTGCCAATAGGGGTGGGCATTCGGTACTTCGGTTCGTTATTTAAGAATTTCGGTTCGGTATTTCGGTATTCGATTTATCAATTGTGTATACCAAATACCGTACCAAAGTATTTCGGTACGGTTCGATATTTCTTATTTTGGTTCGGTACGGTTTAAACCAAATCTTTACTGTCTCCCCCACTCCATTAACTAATGTAATCCATGTTGTTTGAGATTCCACCAAAGATCAATCTTAAGTTCTCAGGTTGTGTACAGAGAAGAGACGAAAGGCAATACACTTTGAGTTTGAGTAGAAGAAGATGAGTCAATGACTGTAGGAATGCAATTTGCCTCCACGAATTGTTGTGAGATTTATAGTCATTAGTGTGTGAAAATGATCCAACTAATATGTTCTTTAGTCTATGAGTTTCATTCTTGCTTCAAATTGTTAAACTAGGTTGTTTATCTTATGTATCTTATTCTGTGAATGATTCCCGCTCTTTGTGTAATTTTTGTTATTTATTTTGAGGCTTTATAGTAAATACTATAATCTGTATGTTTTTCTTTATAGGAGAATTTTTAGTTTGTTCAAGGCAGGCATATTTTTTGGTTTAAGAACTAATACAAGTCAGGAGCAAAGAATGATTGTACCACAAGACTTACAACAGTAACATGTTGGAATCGATTATCACTCATGAACAAAATCATGTTTGATCATACAATTAAATATTTCCTATTATGTCTTTTTAGGCGCTCATCTCGACCAATACTATATAGAGAATGGTTGTCACTCATGACTAAGCCTAAGGGTAAGGGATTAAGGAATTAGGGGTTTTGGACTTTTGGGTGTGGGCTTCAGGTTATTGGGCTAAAAAAATAAAAATAAAGTTGGGCTTGGACTAAACTATTTCGGTATTTCGATATACCGAAATACCATAATATCAAAAATCCAATACTGTATACCGTACCGAATTACCGAAATATCAAAAGTTTTGTACCGAAATACCGAAAAAATCGAAACCGAAATACCAAATTAATTCGGTTCGGAACGAAATTCGATTTTTCGAATTTTATGCCCACCCCCCAGCTGCCAATGCAAAATTGAACTGGCCCAGGCCTCGAGACGAAACGAGCTCTCCTTGATTAGTTCACACTTCACAGCAATTTTGCGTGGTCAATTAATAATGCGTTACATAGGTCGGGTTCAAGTTTTTTAAAAGGATTTTTACCATCCTATACACTATTTGAAACCTTATTACTCTTCCTACTCAAGTTTCAATTTAATTACATGGTCATATACAATTTATCAATTATATACAAATAAGTTTTAAATGAGTATCCCTTTATATTAGGAATTGAATAAGGAATATCAATTATTTTCTTATCCCTTTATACTTGTCCACTCTCTCTCTCTCTCTTCGTCTCTCTCCGTCTCTGTCTCTGTCTTCGTCTCTCTACTCTCCTTCTCTGTTTTTTTTTTTCAATTTTTCTTCATTTGATGTTCTCTGTTTTTTAATGCTTTCTTGTTGTATAGAGTTTAATTGGAATTCATCAATGGATTTCAATCGTTTTAACTTAGCAATTTCCTTTCATGTTGCACAATTGGTGTTCAAATTGAAATTGTCAATCAATAAATTTTAAAGGTGTTTGACTCTCCACCATTGACAACTATTAAAAAGTTTTGAAACTTTGAATTCGAATTTGGGTTTTCAAAAATCATTATTTGTTTGGATTGAGTATTGTTGCAAATAATTGGAAATATTGTTTGGAGTTTATATCTCAATTTTGAGGGTGTTTGGTGAAGATTAGACTTGATTTTGGCTGAATTTCAGATTGAAACTTGAAGAAGAAGAAGAAGAAGAAGAAGAAGAAGAAGAAGAAGAAGAAGACGACATGACATACAATATACTTACGAAATTGTAGTATAATTGTATATAAATTGTATTCTGTTATAGTTATATATTTTTTTTATTTGAATGTTGTATGAAAGTTGAACAATAGTTGTATAATGTATGAATCGTTGTATAAGATTTATATTTAAGTTATCAATATAATCTTTTTACATAAAGTTATTGATATGTATCAAAATTGTATTAAGAGAGTAAGTTTTGATTGGAATTTTAGAGAGGAAGAAGCACACACCACAGACAAAATATATAAAATCAGATACAAAATATATACAAAGACATATTGTATAAAAATTGTATTTAAGTTGTATGATATTATAGTTGTATATAACTGGGTAGAAATAATGTATGAAAATTGTAGATAAGTTGTATAATATATAATTAGTTGTATGAAATTTATTTTTACTATATATAAATCAGATACAAAATATACAAAAGACATATTATATAAAATTTGTATTTCCTAGCGATGGCATAGCATTTTCTGAAGACAAAAAGCAATATCAGATGACTGATGTCACTCCAATTGTAGCTTACTCTAGGCTTCATTAAAAAATTGCAAGGTGTTAATTCATGCAGAC